TCTCTATCCTGCATGGAGAGTCCGGTGGCGGATGAAAGAGACGAGGGCAATCTATTTTATGAATTTTGCCGTTTATGCATGAAGCTCCGATGCAGTTTGGTTCAGTCCAAGTAGTGCCATTCTTGACGAGTCCCTTAGTTTCTGAGAGGCATTGTCCGTGTTCAAGACAGGCGGTTGAGTAAGTGGGACAGCACAGCGGATACGGCTTGCCTGGTTTTCCCCGTTTGCTCATGCCCAGTTTGCATCTGATGTTGGATGCCGCCAGCCGCAAACAGGATTCAACAACCTTCTTACCCTTGACGCACCTAACACGACGGCACGGGGGTCTGTCCACGAGTCGCCGTCTTTGTAAAATATCCCTGTCGCCTTGGAGAAGCACCGTGAGTCTTCCTTTGGACAGACGATTGTGTAGCAGCAGTCGGGGTACGGGGCGAACGGGCGACCTGGTGCTACCCGACATCCCGGCCCAGGAAGGACCTGAGGACAGCCGAGAAAAGAGACCTTCCCCTTGTCGCACTGGCCCTGCGTGCAGCCGGGCTCGGTCCACTTGTCGCCATCTTTGAAGTATCTGTGGAGTCCCGGTGAGAAGCAGGCGTTCTTCTTGGAGGCGACAGCGAGGGTGACGAGCACCAGCAGGCACAGAGCCGATCGGGGCATGTTCATGGCGCGGCTTCCCGACACCGAGTGACATCCCCGGTGGTCCGTGGTATGTACTATGTACCCAGGGATGTCATGGGGACCGACACTAGCTCCGGGTCAGGGTGGAACAGCCCTGTGTGGGCGGCGGACCGCACCGTCACTGCCGAGAGGCCAGCTGTCAGGCCGGTAAAGTGTTGCATCAGCTCCTGTCAACATCCTTCAAAACGCATGAAGTGCCTTGTTCGGCATGAAAAGGTCAAAAATGATTTATTACTTTAACTTTTTTTTAGTTGCATCATATTCAGAACATCATAGGTCCGGATTCAAAGACATATGTAGGGGAAAGTGGGGTAAGACGGTCAAGGTAGGTAAGACGGGCACCCCCTCTGCAGACCAAACCAATAGCGCTACGAGCGAGAAAAATTAGGACCAGAATAGCCTTTCCCACTACACACCGCCATTGAAGTCTGGTGAATTTGTGTTCGGTCAATAATCTTTTATTTTGATTTCTTTAAAACACTCATTTCATTGAAAACATTCATAATGTATTGTGCAAGCTTTTGTGTGCAGCACTATAGAGTTAAAAACTGGCAATCACTTGTGGCACACTCATATGCCTCCAGTGTTCATTCACCGCGGATTTGCTTTGTCTGCATCAAATTGTCCACAGAGAAAAATCGTGCTGAACTTCTGACATTGAGTTTGGGGTAAGACGGGCAACTATGAATCCGATGGGTCTGTAATGGTAAAAATATTTTTGTTGCTGTAGGAAAAAAGAAGCATTTCTGATAAGAATATGTTCGATTCCGATACTCACAGACATGTTAGCAATATTCCTTCGGCACAGTTTATTCTCGAATAATGAATGTGAAAAACGGCTCTACATGGCTTCTGAACTAGGGCCTATATACGAGTATACGCCTTCTGCACGAATCTCGTATACTGCCATTTCCGAAGCACTTGAGACCAACGAGCGACTGTATCAATGCGGCTAATCTCGGGCATTTGCTGCGAGCTGTGCTGGTCGGTGAAAGAAGCTGGCCGTCTTGCCCTACCCATGTGACCGTCTTACCCCATGGAGTGGGGTAAGATGGGTTTTTGCAAGGTTTTGCAAAAATAGCTGCAGTTTATTTGTTGAGTCAGGTCTAAGTCTCATCTTCTGGCAAATGGAAGTAAAATGTCTGTAAAAGGTTTTCACTCAGTTTCCCGTTTCTATGATGTTTCTAACCGGCCGAAAAATGGCTCCAAAGTTAAGGTGCCCGTCTTACCCCACTTTCCCCTAGAATCGGCGATTTGCTAATTGCTCGTCATATCCGCTGCTCATTGTCCAGATGCCCTGTCTGCCCATTGCTTCGTCCATTCGACTCCTCCATTTCATTAATCACTGCTCATTCCACTCGGCACCCGCGCTGTCCCGTCCAGCCCGCCTGCGCCGCCCCATCCGCCCTGCTGTGCTCGCGCTGCCCCGTCCCACCCAGCCCTCCTCCGCCGCCCCGTCGTCACGGCGCGCCCCATTAGAGCCGACCACCGCGTCCGACCCCTTCAGCGACGCGCCGCCACCGACGACGCTCTCAATGGCTCAGTGATAATCCAGAACGGCGCCTTTCAGGCCGCTTCACGCCGCAGATGTATGGCGCATGAAAGTGCTTCAGCACCCCGTTATTTATATGAGGCGGCGGCGCTGGTGCGAAGACCACCCAGGCACGCGCGCGCGCGCTCCGTACCGACAGGTAGGCCGGTGATTTGCGGTGCTGTCGGCGCCGCGGTAATCTGCTCTCGGGGAACTCGCCGACTGGGGTAAGGGTAGGGCTCTTTTAGCTGTGTTGTATTTGTATTTCTACATCGATGAAAAACGGATTTGTACATACCTATCTTTCATTTCTAGGTAGGTAGACATAGCCCTCGGAGTCTTAGTTTCCGCATTTTGCATGTGAAAATTTCGCACTTAAAGGCTGAAACAGACTCTTTCCGCGTTCAGGAAATCGCCTGCGAGAGCCTATTCAAATGCGTTATAATTCTTCCCGCATCAATCGCATCCGGGAGGTGCGTGCGATTGATGCGAGCGTGCTTCCATGTATTTGAATAGGCTCTCGCATGCGATTTCCTGACTGCGGAAAGAGTCTGTTTCAGGCTTAACCCGCGCCCCGCTGGGGGGGGGGGGGCAGAATCTGCCCCCCTCCCGTTTTTCGCCAATTACTTCTAAACGCGTCACGCCAGCGACGTCAAACTTTCAGTACCTTATAATACATCAATTTGACACCTTCCCTAAAAATATGAGCGAAATCCGTCAGAAATTTTTTTGAGAAAATGACGTTTAAATGACGTCATGTTCGCCATTTTCGCATCAAAAACGGCAAAATTTCAAACACCGCTAACATCTTCGTTTTGAATTAAAGGAATCAAGACGTAACAAAAAAGGTTATACGTGATTTTACTTTGTCTATCAAATGGCTTTCTCGGTTTTTTGAAAATTTTGGATTTTGGCTCAATTTTTTTTTTCAAAAAACGTTTTTTTTTTAATTGTAAAATTCAAAATTTTGAGTGTATAAAAAACGGAGTATATGTCAGAGAAGTGGTATATGTGCACCTACATACCAATTTTTAGAAGAATCGGTTCAAAAATGTGGGAGTTATTCAAAATTTTATGACGTCACGGCACACAAAATTTTTGAAAAATGAATTCGTTCGAAGTTCTAGATCTCGTACGGAAACAAAAATAGCACCATTCGATTCGCCGTGACAAACTGCATCAGATAGACACCTTTTTAGGCCTTAACAACCAACTTCAAAATTTGACCTCACTTGACCTGGCCTTGACCTGACCTCGGCCTGAAATTTATCCAGATGTGGTACATATCACTTATTGAGTGTGCCTATTGAATTCTATGAATAAAATGACCCATAAAACATGTGTCGCACATGCCCTTTTCTATATTTTGTTTTTGGTGACCTGACCTGACCTGACCTGACCTGACCTTGACCTTGACCTTCGAATGATACTGTATACAACGAATATTGTCTTGGTAGCCTAAGAACACGTTTTGGGCAATCAGTCTCAGTACATTCATCGGCGACTACGGTGCAAGGCTGATAATGTAGAAACTTGCATTTTGTACCCTTGACCTGACCTTGACCTGACCCGTCTGACCTACTAAAGCAAAAAAATTGAGCTCTTAAGATCCGCCTTGTTGAGAGCTTTCGATTGCCGTTTTCCCCGTCTTTCTACGACCATCGGTTCGGAAGTTAGACAGGGGGGGGTCAGAATCTGCCCCCCCCCCAGCAGGGCGCGTATGGCTGAATAGCCCAACGGGGCGCGGGTTAATGGGGGCCACATCCCTTCCCCCGTAATCAACTACTTGTGATGCATCCAGGTGACTGTCGTGGCACGTGCCACGTGAAAATTCAATGGCGTTCAATTCAAGCTGTTCCTCTGAAGTAGCTTTTTTAAGAGGTCTATGTCTCAACAACCACCGCACTGGGACGATTGACTTACGTAATTTTGTTGGGTAGTTGCATCCCTTCTACCAAACATAGGATACTCTCGATGCATGACGGTACGTACACGTACCAAATGCTCCCATTACAATAACTCGGCAATTACTGGAGCGATTGTGCTGAAACATGGCATGTGGGCAAAGGCACCCACCCGGGCAATGCATATCCATATGTCAACGGTTGGGATGCTGTTGCACGTGCGCACGTGCAGCGGTCGCTTCTAGATCTCGAGAATGGCTGGATCGATTGCGATCAAACTTGGCACATGGTTAGGGACCGGTGAGTACGGTCCCGGGCAAAAGTCAGATTTTCAAACTCAAAATTGATATTTATTAAGATACTATTTTAAGTTATGGAAATTTTTGAAAACTGAGCTTCATGTCAGAGAAAAATTTATTGGCCTAACACATGCCTAAAATAAACAAAATATCTCCAAAATTGCCATAGATATAGCTATTTGAAAGACTAGATATAGGCACGTCAGGAGATATAAAACTTCTGTCAGCGATCAGGCCAACTGCTATGCACATTATCGCCACTTGCGTCCTGGCACATGTCACTCCAAACGCTGTTCTTGACGTCATATACCTACCTCCAGCTGTCCCGCTATGGGACATGGCCTCGCGCGCTGACAGAGACACTTGTGTTTTCGGCGACACGCCGCTGCATCGTGGACCGGCACACGTCCAGGGAACTGACGGGTGTCTTTGAGGCTCCGTCTCCGGACAGGGCGATGGACAGTCGGCACGGGACGGCGGACAGCCCGCCAGAGTCCTGCTGTCGCCGAGGGGCCCGGGACACACCTGTGCCCGTCGGCGGTGTAGGATATAAGGCGGTCCGTCTCGGAGGGTCGGCATCAACTCACCATGAACCGTCTGCTGATCATCTCTTGCCTCGCCCTGGGCGTGGCCGTGGCCAAGCCCGGCCAGCCGCGGCAGGCGGTGCCTTACGGCGCTGAGGTCGATCCGGTGCCGTACGAAGAGGTGATGCCGCTGACTCTGCAGCCGAGCCGCGCTGTGCAGGTCCTCAACGCCGGGAACTACCGCTTCACCACGCCCAACTTCCCCAACCAGTACCCGAACAACCTGTGGGTGGCTGTCACCGTGCAGGGTGCCGAGGGCCAGGCCGTCAGCATCAGCTGCTCTCCCTTCAGTCTGGAGGCGTCCTTCTTCTGCTGGCGTGACTTCCTCTCCATCAACAACGTGCGCTACTGCGGCTCTAACGACGTGCCTACCATCACCGCGGCGCAGCTCGCCATCGAGCTCAAGACCGACTCGTTCGGCACGTCCAGCGGCTTCCAGTGCACCCTCACCGTGCCCCAGGTGGGTGGAACCACCACCCAGGCCCCGGGCACCACCCAGGCTCCTTCGACCGGCGGCTGCCGCTGCGGACAGCGCCAGACCGGCCGCGTGGTCGGCGGCACCGAGGCGGCCATCGGCGCCTTCCCGTGGCAGGCCGGCCTCGTCAGCCCCGGCGGCACCCGCACCTTCTGCGGCGGCAGTATCATCAACAACCGCTACGTGCTGACGGCGGCCCACTGCACGGCCGGCCAGACGGCCAGCGGCATCCAGGTCCTGCTCGGCGACCACAACATCGGCACGGCCGACGCCGGCGAGCAGCGCTAGCTGTGAGACCGGGTACCCGACACCGTCGCAGAGCCCGCAACCGACGATATCGCCGTAACAGAGCCCGGAGAAGTCTCCTCACCCTCGTGGTGTGGAACGCGGAGGGCCTCCGCCCGAAGATTGCGGAGCTGTCCCCCTGGCTTCTTGAGGCCAACGTCGACGTACTCGCGGTACAAGAGGGCCAATTCCCTAAGACGGCACCAAGGATACCTGGCTTCCAGCCCCCAGTCGTGACTCGACGCTCCAGAGGCCGCAGAGCTGGTGGCCCTGTGAAGGGAGGCGACGTCGCCATCTACATGCGTGACGGTCGTCACTTCACAGTACTGAGCGGCCCCTTCAAGCCCGGAGCAGACGACACCACCGAGATCTGTGGCGTTCGCCTACCTGGTAATCCCGATCTGGACATCATCAACATATACCGCCCGCCCATCCGCTCAGATGAGGCAGACGAGAGACAAGACAACTTCGATCCCGACTACCTCCCCACTAGCGACAACACCATCGTCGCCGGCGATATCAACGCCCACCACCCGCTGTGGGACGCGGACTGCGAAGGCCCGGATGAGACGGGCGAGAAGATCGCTGCGTGGCTGGACAGGACCGGCTGGGTGACCCTCAACGACGGCCGCCCTACCTTCACCAGCTACCGATCTGGCGGGCAGTCGGCCCCGGACGCCGCCTTCTGCAGCCCGTCCCTGGCGAGGAGGTGCAAGTGGGACACAGGCCCAGACATGGGCAGTGACCACCTCCCGATGCTCCTGGAGCTGCAGACTGGACAGTCGGCCCCCAAGAGGATCCGGAAAACCAAGTGGTCATTCAAGAAAGCCGCCTGGCTGGCCTTCCAAGAGATGTGCGAAGCCGCCTTCCAAGGAGCGGAATCGGAACACGAACCAGTTCAGAAGATGGCTACCAGGTTCCACTCGATCCTCCAACAGGCTAGTGTTGCCCACGTACCAAGAGGGGCACGAGCCGACGCCAAACCCTGGGCTCTGGACCCGGAGCTGGAGGAGGCAATCGAAGACAGAAGAGCGGCGAGAAGAGCCATGCAAAACAGTAACAGGGACCCCCAGGCCAAGGCACGTTGGATCGAGGCCAAGAGACGCGCCGCTTCCATCGAGCGCCGCGTCTCTCAACGACACTTCAGAGACTTCGTGTCGAAGGACCTCAACAAACACCAGAGCCTCGGGCGGGTCCACAAGATATTGAAGATGTGGGAGGGAGCGTCAGATGACAACCACAGAAAACAAGAAACCATGAAAGACAACGGCCGCACCCTGGTGACGGACAGGGACAAGGCAACGGCGTTCAACCGCACGTACGCCTACGTTTCCAGACAGGTGCGAGCCAAGTCCATCGATCGCCGGGCCAAGAAACAGCTGAAAGAAGCCGAAGTCCGCACCTGCGTAGAGTGCAGGGGTAACAGAACGGGCTGCTGCTCACCGTTCACGGAGGAAGAACTGCTGCGTCAAATCTCCAGCGCCCAACTGAAGAAATCGCCAGGACCCGATGACCTGTGCAACGAGCACCTCAGACATCTGGGCCCGGTGGCTCGCAGAGCTCTGCTCCGTCTCATCAACGCCTCGTGGCTTACCGGACTGGTCCCGTGGCAATGGCGGCGTGCCGTCATCGTGCCCATTCCCAAGCCCGGGAAGGACCAACGGCTCATAGCAAGTTACCGCCCGATTGCCCTGACATCCCACATCGCCAAACTGGCCGAACGACTCGTCGCGACTCGACTAAACCACATCATCGCAACCCGAAGCATGATCCCGCCTGAACAGGTTGGCTTCAGAGAGAAGCGGGGTGTGGAGGATGCCATCGCTCGTCTAACCCAACAAGTTCAGGACGGATGGCAGCTGAAGCCGTGCCCCCCATCCCGGAGACAGCTGCCGGACGGTGAGTCGGCGCAGAGATTCGTCCTCGTTGCGTACGACTTCGCACGAGCGTACGATAAGGTGGACCATCGCCTCCTGCGTGCCCGGCTCGCTGAGATGGGAGTACCGGCGTGCTTCAACTCCTGGGTGTGGAGCTTCCTCAGAGACCGGCGGGCTTGTGTCGAGCTCAACGGAGCAAGGAGCGGCGAGCGCGTCTACAGGGCAGGGCTGCCCCAGGGCAGTGTCCTGTCCCCGACCTTGTTTTTGTTGTGGTCGGCCCCACTAGCGTCAACCCTCCGAGCCCTGCCGGGCACTACTCCGTACATGTTTGCGGACGACACCTCCACACTGTGCTCGGGTAACACGATTGAAGTCGCGCGGGAGCGGGCACAACGAGCGGCCGATACCCTGGTCAAGTGGGCCCGGGAGAACAAGATGGAGGTGGCGGGCCAGAAAACCCAGCTTCTAGTTCTGTCCCAGAGCCACCGGGACGCCGTCGGTTGCCGCATCCGTGTGGCGGGCCAGACGGTGGAAGGAGGCCCTGAACTGAAGTTACTCGGCGTAACGCTGGACAGGACTCTGGGGTTCGGCCCCCACTGCAGGAACCTCCGCCGCCGCGTCCGCCCTCGCATCTCTCAACTTCGACGAATCACCGGTCGCAGCTGGGGCCTGGAGGAGAGACAACTCCGGGCCGTCGCCAACGGCTACGTTAGGGGAGCCACCGAGCATGCGGCGGCCGCCTGGATGCCGGCGGCCGCCAGGACTAACATTGAAGTTCTGGAACGCGAGATGCGTGCCGCGGCCCGAGTCATAACGGGCTGCATCGGGTCGACCCCCATCCACGGAGTGATGGCCGAAGCCGGCGTGCCCCCGGTCGCGGCGCGCCGCACAGCTCTGGCGGCGAGGATGCTGGCGAAGGCCATGGCACTGCCCGAGGAGGACCCGCTACACCGACTGGCCGTGGCGGACCCACCGCGGCGCCTCAAGACCGTCTGCGGATGGCGCCAGTTGGGTCGGGAGGTGTGGCGGACCCTTGGAGTGGAGCCACCGGTGGAGCCGCTGCTCCCCGTGCGCCCCCCGCCCTGGCAACCGACCGGCACGATCAGCTTCAACCTGGACATCGGAGCGGGGCTCCCAGCCGGAGCTGCCGCCTCCACGAAGAAGGAAGCCGCCCTACACCACCTGGCGTCCCTGACCCAATGTGCGACCTGGGTGTGGACCGACGGGTCGGCGACTGGAGGCGTTCTCAGTGGAGGGGCCGGCGCGCTGGTCGTCCACGCCGATGATGACCGCACTGAGCTGAAGAGGCCCGCAGGAGCGCTCTGTTCCAGCTTCAGGGCGGAGATGCTGGCCATCGCAATGACCCTGGAACACCTGGCGACACACCCTCGTGACGACACACTGCCAATAATAATCTGCACCGACTCACAGTCTGCCCTGGCTGCACTGAGAGAGGGGCCTTCGGCCCAGAGGACGGTCCAGGGGGCGGAGATATGGAGCCGCCTGCTGGAAATCGCCACACCGGACCGCCACGTGACGCTGCAGTGGGTCCCATCGCATTGTGGGATCCCAGGCAACGAGGCGGCGGACGTGCTGGCAGGAGAGGCGGCGGCGCTGGAACAAGAAATCGCCTCCATCGACGTCAACACCATCTACAAGGCTGCGGCCCGTCTAGCCAGGGACCAGGCGGCCAGGGACAGACCGTCATACCCAGACCCGACACGCAGAGCGGCGACCGGCTGGTACCGGGAGCTGATGGGTACGAGATACCCGCCCCCAGTCTCCGGCCTGGATCGGCGGGCAGCCATCGATGTCCACCAGATCCGGACTGGCCACTGGAGTGGATCGACCCAGTTCCTACACTCCATCGGCCGGAGCCCCTCAGCCGCCTGCACCCAATGCCGGGACCTGCTATGCGAGGCCGCCCGGTGCCCGCTGTGCGGCGAAGAGGCGGACACCCCCCGGCACATCCTGCTCACGTGCCCGGGCCTGATGGGTGTTCGCCTCAGAATCCCGGCCGTAGGGAACATCCTACCAACACCCGACGAGGTCTGGCGCAGTGACGTGGTGGCGGCCCTGGTGGCCGCCTTCAGGGCCCTCCAGAGCCGATGAGGCTACGCCGCGGGGCCACCCGCGGCCGGAGGGAAAATCAACAACAACAACAACAAGCAGCGCTACTCGGTCGTCCAGATCATCGATCACCCGCAGTACACGGACGCCTCGGGCAGCGGCTGGGACTTCTCGCTGCTCAAGCTGGACCGCGAGATCACCTACAGCAGCACCATCTCGCCCGTGTGCCTGGCCGAGGCCGGCCAGACGTACGCCGGCGCCACGGCCATCGCCAGCGGCTTCGGCCGTCTGGGCGCCACCAGCCCGCAGGCCACCAGCCTGCAGCAGATCACTCTGCCCGTCTGGTCGCAGTCCGACTGCAGGCAGCGCTGGGGCACCACCATCAACACCAGCATGATCTGCGCCGGCGGCAAGTCGACCGGCGGCGAGGGCGTCTGCATGGGCGACAGCGGCGGCCCGCTGGTCACCGAGGTCTCGGGCAGCTTCCGTCTGATCGGCGTCGTCTCGTTCGGCCAGCCGTGCGCCATTGCCAACAGCCCGGACGTGTTCGCTCGCGTGTCGGAGGCGCTCACCTGGATCCAGTCCAACACGGCCGACGCACAGTACTGCAGCGCCTAGATCACGAGTCAACCCGACCTGCAATGATGACTACAGACCGTGCTCGGCAATTGTCCGTGTATCGACATACTGCCCGATTAGATCATCGAACATTTGCCGACTGTCATGAATTCGTTCAGATTTTTATGTGCTATC